TATATATATATATATATATATATATATATATAAACTCGGTCAATGTTAGTTGGCTCGGCTACCACTCAAGGTTTTTGTCCGCGTGTTCAACAGCACCAAATATGACAAGCAATCCGTCGTTCATTTTCATCAACCGTGTTTTATGCCCCATCTTATGGTTGCACGACCACAATTTTGTATGCGTATTCCGTTTACTGTTAAAATACCAGGGAGATTTCTCACACACACGTCCGACTACACCACATTCCTAAAGTTTGAGGCGAGTAAATCGTTATTCATTTAAAACTGAATTAACTTTTAAACAGCAACTTGAAGGTGTGTCGCCTCTTAGGTGTACATTATCCGCCGAGAAACTCACAAAGCCCACCAACCAGTGATGAAGACGCGCTGCTGACTGCGCGATTGGGTCACTTTTACCAGTCATTAACCAATAATGAGCTGGGTCCTGGGGTCACCATCCAGACAGGCGGCAGTTATTGATCCGACTGATTTTACCGGTTTGTCTTCATAATTCGTTGCCATATCAAACACTGTCCGCCTCACCACAGGCGCCGGCGAAATAATGCTGTGGGGTAGACTGTCCTCCGGCGTGCATAGTACATGTCCTAACCAGCGTAACTTATGAAGCGTGAGTAATTAACTTACCCCAACATTGCTAGTCCGATGTTTCCACCAGACTCAGTCAATAACTGAAAGACGTTGGTGGTCAAACACTGACATCTTTCATACTTCCTCTGCGCATAAGGGTCACTTCTCTGGTCCATAAAGTAGTATGTTCGCACTGCCACAGTGTAAACTCTGCCCATATTATGAATATATAAAATCGCGTTCTTACTTAGTCTGGGCTTTGTGCGTGGTAGGATCAGATCTAGAACTCGATTTGTGTAGGCTGTTTTCTGTGGGTCAGGGTTTAACGAATTGATAGACATATGTATCAAATTGGAAAGTTCATTATGAAGTAGTACTGTGGGAACAGATTCTGTTTTTTTCATATTTCCATATTTAAAATGCGCTATGGAAGTCACCTTGCTGCATTAATTGGACCGCGTGGATAGAGTGAAACAGGCCACTTATCCGAAATGCGTTGTCATCAAGTAAATACCTCGTAATCAAGTGTTCATGTCAGTCGTAGCAATTGAAACGCGTTCCGAAAATCTTTCTTCTTCGACAATAAATCTTTTCCTATAAATTTTGTTTTGATGGATGTTCAACCAGCGCAGGTCTTTTTATCGAAAAGATGAATGTGAATAGTTCACAAACCACCGGAATATCTGGTTTGCATCTAAGTTTTGAGATACTTTGTCACATGCAGACGATGTTTACCCCCTTGAGCGTGTCAAAAACGAAGACCTTCATACATTTTGAAGATTTTAGAGTGCCATCAGTATGGTCTGTAAAGCACGCTACACATGTGTCGACGCACTTCATTGTACGGAAGCAGAAGTAAAATTTCCTGCTTCTGACTTTCTTCTCTAAGCTGAAAAAACACCCTGATATTTTTGTCAACAAAATTTGATCAAATATATGTTCACGAGAGTCTACAGTAAACCAGGGATCGAAATTCTTGCGGAACGCATCCTCTTAGGACCAGTAAGCCTTTGGCGTTCACATTCTGATTTGAATGATTCTGAATGATTTATGGTATATAACAAGTCTCTAGTCAAACAACGCTGATAAAAATGACTAGCTGTGAAATGGACGCATTCTGCATATAATCAGCCAAAAAGCCCTCGACTTAAAAGGAGGAACAGGTAGAATCTACATGTACAAAAAGTACTAGGTACATTTTTCACTTGTTACGCTGTTTCTTGTCAGATCCAACAATGAACCCTCCACCAATGCTAAACTAACCAAATTGCCGATTCCAGAACACAACTTGCAAGACGATTCACATTTAATAAGTTAGTTTCAATGCCAATACTAGTGTGAGTATCAATCCGCAACTTCAAACCAGATAGAGACAGTGTCCCTAGAATAATTGCACCAAGAGACCAGCCCATTAAGTCATTAGGGGATTACACCGCGATGAGGCATAAGTTATTTAGAGCCAGCAGTGACTCATCTCAAAAGCTAAATACACTAGGCTTACGCGCTCAGGTTTGGCTCAATTGTGAAAAACTGATGGATATGATGGCTGATTCAGGGGCAATTGTTTTGTGGCGGAAAGAAAACCCTGATAGTAGGAAAGACGGTAAATTCCATCGCCCCAAGTTTCATCGTTCTCCGTTTTCCCGGCGTTTATCCTGCGAAGTTAGAAACAAGAACTATACAGTGAGGGGTGAGACGAATCGCACACACACTAAAAATAAGTTGGGACTCAGAGAAGACTCCACTCAACTTCATTTGGACCTCTAGTCTACACTGAGTAGTTTTGCTTGCGTGGCGTCTCTGTTTGAATAAAACTCTTATAGCCTTTGTAAGTTGCTTACTGAGTAAATGTCAAACTACAACTCAAATTGCCTCACTTTTGATGTTTTCGACTGAATGCACAGTGTACATTAGTGTTAGCAGCAAAAATGCTCTCATGTGATTAGTGTTTTACAGTCATTCAAAGCATTTTGTTAGGTGGCATCTTATAGTCTCTTATTATTATGTATTACTAATATTAATTGGGATACAAACACCACTGAAGCTTATTATTCTTTCTACGAATGTGAGTTTACTGTGACCATTTGCTTAACTTTCAGCCCTTCCATTCCGTCATATATATACATAAAGTGTCCCCATGGCAACACAACTGGATCAAGTAAACAAAGTACTCCTTGACAAGTACGTACAAATTTAATTCTGGCATAATAGTTTCCAGTCAAGATAGGGATCTACATGCGGCGCTCCAGCAAGTAATAACTGAGAACCCTGCACTGTCCGACACTGTAAAACAATGCATTTTACGGCTGGAAATGTTAGTACAGGTAAGAATAAAGCTCAAAGTTAATTAAACACATCACAGCGGAAACAAAATCATTTAGCCAATCCACCACTTGTGCGCGAGTGTTCCACTTCAGCAAACACAACAGCTCTGTTGATAGTTGACGTTCAGAAGGACTTTGTGACCGGGTCTATGCGTACAGACCGGTGTCCTGCACAGATGGATGCAATGGGCATAATAAAACCGATCAACTACTTGTGCGGATTGCCTTTCAAACAAATCTACGTCAGTAAGGACTGGCATCCACGAGACCACGTATCTTTTCACGAGAACAGGAACAGATGGAGACTTAGTAAAAACAGCAAGGCAAGTTCAGTGAGATTTGCGTTTATGCATAGCACCATGTGACCGCACATTTTGTTGAGGACTTTTCGTTGCAGGGAATAAAAGTCCAGCGCCAAATGTGCGGCCGCTGTTATCAGCATTTTATTAGTCGAAGTTGTGTTATTTAACTTAAGATGCCAAAGTAACAGTAATGTGATGCCGTTACAATTTTTAATCACAAGTTTTTTGGGGCACTCATCAAATTACACGCTCTTGTCTGGAGGTCACTCAGTAACTCAAGCACTGTCCGCTCTCCGTTTCGGGCGAAATACTGGGTTGGTCTACTGCTGTGACGTGATGAGCATAATTTGATTAGAATGATCTTATGATGATGAAACAATGCATTTATGCTGGTTATTAACTAAACCACCCTCGGCCTATCCATTCCATATTTTTAATTTGGCTGATAAGGTTATACTCACCCATAATTCTCCGAACATTAGGCCTCAGATGGATTTGTCCTCGTGTTCACAAGCTGCCAGCTAAATTCGCGTTTGATCAATGAACAGATGATTTGTGACACTTCATTTTGGGGCCAATCATTTACTTATGGATGTAAGGTGCATAAGAGCAGATAGGTTGAGCAAGCGGCAATAGACCAGTATTTTAGAATCTAAAAGGCCTTGAAAGATGACAAAAATTTATGTTGGGTTGGCTTATCACAAACGGCATTTCCCTAGTACAGAATGCTTCCAAATAACCACGGCGTGAATGAGTTTTGTGATTTGGGCGTGAACATCATAAAATCAATGGGGCAGCAGTAACGTCCCACTTCTTTTTGTCCTTGGTATTCTTATTTTTTGTGCTTGCCGACTCGTTTGCCTTCAGACGATTAAGTTGTTCGTCGTTTATTGCAACTTTTCTGCGGTGCCTGTTTGAAAGGTCCACCTAGAGAAGCTATCACTCGAAGTATAATGAGACCATTCCAGAAATGGATACCACTGATGCAGCCTGACGTCAAAAAACTAAGGCTACCTAATTTACAACACGCTGGAGTAAATATGGGTGGCCTTACACCAGTGTGACGTTCCAATCACTCATTTCAGATTCAGAAAATTTATGATACCATCACCATCGTTGATTCAATGGGCGTGGAGTGCAATCAACAACTGTGGCCAACACACTGCGTTGCCGAAAGTGAAGGTGCTAAAATTCATCCCAAATTGAGGGTAAGTAAACACAGTTGTAGAGTGTCTGAACTCAACAAGGGTGAAGAAGTTCGGAGATTTTGAAGTCTCAGTTCTATCCTTCTAGTAAATTTGATCTACTCTCATAGACCAACGGAAACTGTATAGAAGTTATATTCATTTTGTGAGTCTTCCACAATGCACGTTTCAACCATCTTCCAAGATATTTGGAGCCATGTCAGTCCTAATGGGGGAATAAGATTACCTTTGTGCGCCCACCTGTTAGTGCCAAGCAGTGTGGCCAGTGTGTACCGTATCATACATACTTCATGCGCGCTGCCATTGTCACGTCATGTGGCGTTGACCAGCGTTGGTTCAACTAACGTGTAAACTGAACTCACTAAAGGGACAAAATTCAGATTTGAAACTCAGAACACTCATTTTGTAGAAGTTGTTTGTGTACTCAATAAAGAGAAAACAGCACAAGTTTTTAATCTTAGAAGTTGTCATTTAGGAACCAGCCACCAACAGACAACGTCGTGTTAAATGCGTGATATGGAAAGCTGAGGGACACCAAAACCGGTGTGCAAAATAAGTTCAGGCCACCGACTACTGAACTTTGACTGAAATTCAGGGTTTCATTATTTAAAGGGAGTGTTTTGGTTTGGAACCCCATGGAAAAAATGTGAAACGCAGATTAAGGATTGGGTGGGCTCTATCACGTTCCTGTTTTCTTAGTATTGTCCGACTTCATTTCCTGGAGGAAAGTTCGGGTATGAAGATAAAATATTTTTCTTGTAGAAAATTTGGTCTGACTGTTTTCACAAGAGCAAATACTTGGTGAACTCGAATTACTCCACTTTATTAATTGTTCTACGGAAGGCTAGAAACAAACTGTATTCACTCAAAGCAATCCTGAATGGGATGAATCACACAACTGATTCAGTGCAGGATAGAATGGACTCCATTATTTTTGGCTCGTGAATGATGGATTTGCAAGGCATTTCTGTCCTTGTTCCATCTGTGTCGTACTGAACGGACGAGCAGCTGGGAAGTAGCAGCAGCGTATATTAAATCTCTTACATTTAGATACTCTTCAATATGACTGTTGCACTCTTTGATGAAAACATCACCCATAATTAGTTAGTATCATGCTCGGAACTACTTGTGGATAGCGTAAGCTTAACTCGCATTCTGCTTGGGTCACTTGGCACTATCTCAGCTTCCATTCTTCCTTCAGGTGACTATGCACCTAAAGCTGAACGATTAATTTGATTCGACTTCTTTTCAGGACTGCTTACCTTCCCAATCCACCATATTTTCATAAAGCTGATCTAACCGCTATTCACTTCTTACCCTTTTGTTCGCCCCACAATGTGTAAAACGGCTGGACAGATGAAGCAACAAATTACAGGTCTAACAAGAACCTCAGCCAAACGTAATCTGGTCAATAAAAACATGGCAGCCTTGCTACGATCCGTACATACGTGCTCGGCAAATAGAGTCAAGGTTCTATTGACTGAGTGACGTCTTGAGATTTCGTTAAAAACCTATTGTGGTTGTAATTTGTTATTTTACCTGTTTGATCTCATTTTTACATGATGTGGTAAGCAATCAAGTGCAAAACGACTTCGTTCCGCAACACCTTTCAGATTGACCAAATAATCACAGTGTTTCAGGCAGTTGTTAAAAACGAACGCTATTGAGCATGGCGTATGATTGTGTATGATGATAAACCACTACTCGTGCTAACCGGCTGCTTAGGATGCATAAAACTGAGTTTAAGTTTGGGTGTAAACGCCAATACTCTGTGCAACATGCAAAGTGATCACAATAAACCTGCCAAACCGCGCTACATTTCAGATGGTCTTGCACTGTCTGAAGCATCTGAGTTGCAACTGTGAAGGCTTTAGTTGCCGAGCGCGTAAACAAATGAAATGGTTATTTTGGATGGCTTATCTCGGTCTCTGTCCAGATGCTCGCTTCCTCAGCGTATTTATTGGTACAGCATTCAAAGCTGCGAGATACCCCAGTTCTCGAAGAGGTGTTAGTTTTAACTACGGCGAAAAAGACATCAGCAGTCAAAACGTAACGAGGAGGAAGATAGAGATAAGTTTGTGATCCCCAGGGAGAGGACCTACCTGGGACCAGCCAACACTGTCCTGCTGCAGGGCAATTTGATAATCTTGACTACTAATAATATAAGTCCAAAACCAGTTTAAAGGCTGTTGTTTTAGCGGTGGAGTTACTATGAAGAACTCGTGTAATCTGCCCTGAAATTTTCCGTTATCCTCGCCAAATACTTGATTCTATGCCTGCGTTGTTTGGCATTAAGTATTTTAGACAACGGTTCACTACTTTGCATTTAGCGCCTTGTTAGTTTCTACTATTTTAACGACTTTGAATCATCCATTGGCAAGAAGCAAGTGTGTGTCTGTCATTCCGCACCCGACAGGCTTAAAACGAATACAGCTAATTTTCTCAAGTTGAAGATAAAATTTCTCAAGAAAAAGGAGGCAAAGCATCAGAGGTGCACCAATAACTTCCACGAACAAATACACCAAAACGGGCATCTGTTACCTTCCTTTTAGTCCACTAAATACTGCTAAGTTTAGGAGATAAAGCGGGAAACAGGAAACACTATGACTAGGCATGACATCCAGCCAAATCCTACTGGGTTTCCCTAAGCCTGACAAATGGGCTAGGGTTAGGGTTTACATCGATTAAGCCGTCCAGTAACAAGCGCAGCCCATTTGCGGGACAGGAGAGAATAAACTGAACTACTAATGTTATTTTCGCTTAACAGTCAGTGCCTCTTTGAAAATGTAAACGGTGTGAATCGGCTAAACAACATAGTTACACCATTGTCCAAAATAACCGTATGATAATATTTGTTCCCAAAGCCAAATGTGGCCTTGCCAAATGGATGGAACGGTTTTTAAACAAGTGTAACTTTAGTCAGATTATTCTCTCCGTGGGTAAATCACTGTGATCGTTGAACGATCGTCGTATAAGTTGAATGTTGATTTCGTTCCTTGTCGAAGTACTTTGCATCACATAAGCAACTTACTGTCAGATTTTGTACACGGCGTCCAAAGTGACATACAAGAGAAGCAGCTACTTCAGGTCTAAGTAAGTGCTATCAAGAAGCAGTCACGTAGCAGATTAGGTTTTTTACTTGCTTATCTATGCAGCACCACAGTCGCGTGAATACTAGAACTATTATGCGTGAGGTGATCCGGTAATTTGATAGCGACCATTGGTTCGAAGACTGCTGACAGCAGGAAGAATAACCCTTCTTTGCTGATCCATTCCAGAAAAATGGATGATGGCAACCAGCCTGATCGGTCATATCGACTAGCTAAGTTCATTATCAGTTACTTGGCTGGGTACCTCTAAGGTTGTCCAAAACTTAAAGGGAAACCAAATGCCTTCCATTATTTTTCTAGAGAATCTCAGCAACTTCTGCTTTTATTCGCATCAGTTTACCAAAGCCGTCTTCTCAGAAGCTTCCATTATTCACGTAGTTCTATAGCTGCTATGCCAAGACTCGTACAATTATTGCTGACAGCTATTCAACGAGTAATAACTTTCCGCTTGGTCGTCCTTATTTTACAGAACTCCAGAGGACGGGGAGAACTAGATCCGGATTACTTACGAAAACCATTATGTATAAAACTGACTTCAGTCCTTATCTGCTTGTAGGTGAAACAAAAGACAGGTTAACATGGTTTCATGGCTTAATTTCCCGTAAATTAAGGGAGCCATAAACTTTCAGAAAAGTTTTGGAAACAATCGGCAGGTTTATTCCTACGCAACGTTTCGCTTTTGACACAAAAGCCCTGTTAGGACAAGTGACTAGCTTAAAGGTTTGGTTGGGCTTTAATGCGGAAGGAGAATCAACCAGCTAGGTCAGGCTAAACCTGTGTTAGATGTCTGCTAAGGGAGTTATTATGGTAGGTCGGCAATTGTTAAGACTGATGAGGAACATACTTGGATTTGGGTTCAGCCAGAGGTCGAAGTCTCCTGGTTCGCTTCACGTAAAGATTCTTCTTGAACGTCGTTTATAGTTTTTGTTCGTCTGTGTGGATGACCTGGTGCTAAAATAGTTGTGTAGATTCTGTGAACTCTTATCGAGTTGGGATATCTATCTGCTTTTTGGTAATGATTTTACATATGTTAGCAACCCTACATAGTCATGTCTCATTTCGGCTCATTTAAGACCACTCTTTATAAGCTCGCTAATCCCACATCCTTGGTTCTCTTCACGCTGTGATTCTTGATGATTTCCACAGACTCGGCCATCAGCCGATGTGATGTGAGCCGCGATCCCCATATTAAAACTTCTACATTCTACAGATATATTCTGTGTCCTGTGTCTAAAGTATGTACCATCATTGCTGGGTGTTTGACAAGCGCTCTGTATTGTCGTGAATTCCTTGCTGGTGTGTTCATCCTCCTTTTATGCTCACCAAATCCAGAATGCAGTTCCCTGGCAGTTTACCTGTATAAACCTTCGTACAAACGTCGCATTTAATTTTATACGCACAGTCCCTAGTCCTTCCAACGGAGAGGGGATCTTTCGCAGGTATCAAAACTGAGCGTAGAGTTCTTTCCTTCTGGAAAGCTACCTGAATATTGTCTTGGTTCAGCAATCTTTGGATAACTTCCGATATTCCCGCCTTACATGGAAGCACTGTTGTGCGAATCCAGTCATTACTGGATCTTAATCCTGGAACCAATATCCTTCTCAGTTGGCACCATATAGTTCGTTGTGATAGATGCGAGCAAGAAACTACAAAAAAATTGCGATGACTAGTCCTCTGTATATAAAAAAACATAGAACAACCTGTCGTCGCCTTCAAAGAGTCGTTATGCGAAAACTCACTTGCTTGTGGAGGTGGGGTAATGGTTCCACAGTCAGTCAACATTTAGAAGGCAATCGCCAAAACCAGGGATGATCATAATATGAGCTCGGCTGTATCCAAATGCTTTGTACATTCAACACGGTCTCAGGAAAACCAATCAAAAAAGCTATGCAGCTAACCTAGCACACCCAAGACACTTTAAATTTTCTGCCACCATTCACCTTGTACTCGTACTTTTTGATCCCATCTTTTTTCTTTAATTTTTTTTATGCATTCAGTTGCCTGAAGACGTTATCGTGATTAAAAAAGGTACCATCAGTGATGTCGAATCTTACTCTGTCTTCGGAGATCCAAACGGAAGAGAGGACACAACCTTGGAAGCCAAGCTGCGAGCATCTGGCATCAAAGTTCTAGTTTTATGTGGAATCGCCTTCGACTTCTGTGTGGGTAAGCCATTCTCGTAAAAGCGCAACTGTTTACTCTCATTAATTGGGAAGCACAAAATGCTCGCGTGACAGCACTGTTCAGCGTCTTCTATGAATTCAGGCTCGATAACCACTGTTAAAAACTAATGTTAATTTATATGTCCAGTGCGTACTAGTGTGTATTATGTATTGGGAAGGTCGTAATGGCTTTATTTTTACATTGCGAGTAGCAAAATTAGGGCACATGTCCAGTGACTAACCGCAGTGGGTTTGCGGTACACTTCATGGGATAATATTTATGTCGAGTAGAGGTGTTGTGACTGCTAGGAGTACAAAAGACATCTTCTGTTGAGTGGAAGGGCGCTTTATACGACTAATCTAGTGAATAAGGGTACACTAGTTGAAACTTGCAAGCATGACCAAGCGTCCGCGAGCCATTGTTGATAGACTAGGATGCCAACTATGAAGATAAGCCAATGTTTATTGTGAGGCAAGATAGTGCCCACCCAAATTCTGGAGGTCACGATTCTTTGACGGGCAGATGTGATCGATTAATGCCTGTATTACTGTTCAAGCGGAATCAACACACACGCCACTTTAAGTTGGGTGCGACATCCAGTCATTAGATCGGTAGCTCTGTGAGCCTCGAGCATCTGTGCTTGGTACGGTCACGATGGCTTACTATGATGGTCTGCTTCCTCCAAACGGAGGCTCTAGGTTGAACGTATCCAGGACCGGATAAACAAGTGAAATGATTAGCCTCGTTGAAATAACTTTCTGGTGTGTTTTGTGCACTAAGTGCACAGTCAAGAGTCTGGTAGGACTAGAATTGGGGTATTTTCAATTCACCGGTTGCGTTGTAACAGGACAGATGAAGTTTGGAGTGTCTACCAAATCGCCTGAATCGAAGATTCTGTAGTTTGCCCGAAGGTGTTTGTTGAGCGCTTGCTTCGTCTCACGTCACAGCTTTTGCTTTAGGTCACGGAGTTATGTCTATGCATTCTGGTGAGTCTACGCAAAACATTCTCCAGGCAATTTTCCATCAGGTGCAGCGTTTTCTTTGACAGAAAAATACAAGTCTTTGGAAGACTATCAAGCATCTTCACCATATTCCTCTCCACATGAAGTTTCCACAAAGCTCTTTTAGAAGTGTCAACAAAACTCTTCGTGTCAAGTGAGCTGTGGATTGTCGACGGGTTACATTTCAAGAGATATTGACGCATCACTACTATCAGTTGTAAGTGCCATGGCTGTACTTGGGCAGGGCAACCAGATCTATACAGGGTCCTTGATCGAAGCCTTTGACTTAACAGTCTGACAGCAAGGCAGCGGTCAGGTGTGCAAATGCGTCTTGTGTCAATGGAACTCTGACAGTTCAGAAGAAAGGTGTTGCAGTATAACTGCATTGTATTGGAGGACTTTCTTTGCTTGGTTATTGGCCACTTTAAACTAAGGAGCTCTGAACTGAGAAAATGGGTTACTGAGAGAACTAATAATGGCTTACAAGTTTGTGAATGTTATGAAAATAACTTTTGGCTATTTACAGAAATCATGGGGCAAGGAGCAAACCTGTTGTCTCTTGACGGGCCTGCGAATTCAGTATGAATCCATGCCAGTGAGCCACCCGCCTGCGGCCAAGCACGGGGTTCTACTGTAGGTGCTGCTGTTCCATTCATAGCGTAGATATGGCAACGGCAGTTCACATTTTTGATGTGCCAGTAAGCATAACTATCACAACTGCTTCGACTAGTGCTATTTCGGGATCTCTGAGCATGAGATATTTGTCCACTGTTGTTGACGCAGCTCAGAAAGCGTCCTAAGAGGAAGTACGCTAATCAAATGATGGATCATCTGGTCTGATTTAGTAGAGCCTTAAATCTTCAGAAAGATAACCAGCAAACTACGGACAGAATCGCCTAGCGTGAATACCATGCAAGCGTCCACGTTGACAGATCCCAGAAATATGCCTCCAGGTATTCGATTCATTAACGTCTTGCAGGAGAAAAGCGATAAGGCATCAACATGACCAACACTGAAAGTAAAGTTACAATTAATAATAGGTTAGCTGTACGGGCAGACACGCCAATATTGGAGTCGAAAATTGATGGCAGTGTTCTGCAGTCAATAAAGAGCGTGAGCTGACAACTGTGAAGCATTTTATAAAATTTCTAGCTGCATAAACTACAACCAGACACTTATTCTTGATTTGCCCACAGGTCCTTTCAGCCGGAATGGGGATGTGCGAAGCATGATAGCCGGTTTCCTGGCTGTTATGGTCACTTATGTTTTGAGGGGCTGTATGTGTCATGACCATATGTGTCCTCTACATCACAATCGAAGGACTAGGGTTTCAACGAGTCGGTAGAAGATGTGAAGCTATAATACGTCGTAATGTTTGCTAAAGCTGACCACAAAGTTCGTGGTTAGTTCCACATCATGTTGTTTTGCGATAGCCGGTTAAAGAGTGCTCGTAATTTATAAATTCCGTGAACAGAATTATCATAGCAGACTACCAAAACCGTTGAACTACGGTAATTTTGACTTGTTGGTGGGAGTCAAAAGCTGCTTAATGGCAGAGATCTCCGCAGGATCGAACCGAAGTCCAGAAGCGTCACCAATACACCCGATAGGCTTTATTCCTGGTAAGAGCCGTTCACATCTCAATACACGTTTTGGACATGTATTGCTGTTTGCAACCAAAAGCGGTGTTTAGTTACTGAATACGAAGTCCGCCTGATGATGATAATGTCATCAGTATGCAATGAGGTACGGGGTATAACGCACGACACATTGTCGCTTATTCGCCAAAAAATCTAAAGAATAAACGTGATTCTAAACGGCTAGCAAATGTACTCCAAGGTGGTTGCTAACAGTTAAAAATTCTTTACGATCATCGTGCATCTCAACTTGGGATCGAGCATGACAGAAATCTATCCTGGTAAACATATTACCTCTATTAAGTCTTGCATCTTCTTCTCACAAATCTGTAGATCGTTTACCGCAAGACTACGCTGGGTACCTCTCAGTAGGAATAATTAACTTGTTGGAGAACGTCACAAAATTCCTAATCGATCAATTCCTGCCTCTAGCTTTGTTACAACTGAAAAGAGCACTGGCCACTTTAGACGAAATATGGTTTTGCTATCTGGCGTTAGATGCAAAACTCATTTTGCCCTGGAGTACAAACCAAAGTGTGGTTTGAAAATATCTGCATATCTCGTTTTTAAAACTTTGACAGCTTCAAAATCTAAATGTTTTTCTACGGCTGTAACATCACATTCCACAAATGTGGTCGGTGAATCCAGTGACGTTCGAAAATGAAAGATCAGAATACATCAAAAAGACCGCGAAGGCTAACAACCGAAAAGTTGCACTAAAACTCACCCAGAAAGTGAATTTTGTCGACATTTGCATTGTGAAAGACGCGATCTATGGGTGTGTTTAAAGTTTCCGAAACCTTCTGAGGTGTTCTTTGATATAGCTGTGATATTGGGTGCGGTGAAGATATGAAGAATCATCGTACAAATGTTACTGAAAATTGTTATGTAATCCAGTAATGTGAGTTTAGTCGATTCCGGATACAGTGGACACAGGGTTTGACTGTCTCCCCATTCGGCCTGAACACGGGATGTTGCCATGTGAGTGAGCCTGCTGGTAATGGCTTTAGTTATAGCCTGGCCGGTCGCACACTTGACAACGATGGACACGGAATGTCATAAGTGCGTGAAGTTTCAGTGGCCACAGTTCCAACAAGATGACGCCGGATGCACTGGTCGTGTAGCGCTTTGTGGTTGCGATGCAATCGGGTCCTTTGTATTCTTATAAAATTGGCGTTGTCTGCAGTTCACAGCCAAGAATAAAGTATATAGGAATGGCACTACGAATCCGTGAGCTCTAAGTACTTCATCATGAGATCTTCGATGGACACATCTGAAGGAGAATCCACTTTCGTCAGAAATCCTGTTCTGGGGTGTGCCGCTAAAGAAATAATATTTCCAGTGGAAATGTTCGTGCACAAAATACGCCATCCAGTTGGGAAGCTGTTTTTTTCTTTGGCACCTGCCATGTGTACGCTCATCTTCCCCCGGTTTTCTGCACTAACAGATGAACCCTTCCCAATACGTTGAGTTTCTAACGTTTATAACACGACATGAAGGTTATACTGGACCCCCTGAATAACCGTAGAGTCTGCGCGGTTCACTGATATTGTTGTTGCAACTCTAATTTACAGAACTGTTTCCATCATTTTAATCTGCCTCTGTTTGGGGGCTCGCGGAGCTTCCTGCTGTCCACAGATGAGCTAAAGCATTTCTTTTTCCATCTCTGTCGTCTAGCGTATGATTGTAATCAAAATGCAAAGCACCGCCGGATAGATAGTAGCCTTGTGATCCAGTAAAAACGTCCGCATGGATTAGAAATTTAAAAATGACTAAATGGCAATGATCGGTCGACTTAAATGTCGATGGTGACTGAAAACCAGACAGAGTTATCTTAGGCAAGCAATGAAAGCTACAATGCATGAAGGTCACGCATCTGTGACAGATGCGTGCGTGTGTGAATACCGTCTGTTTACATCGCCCTGTTAACAGCTCCCAAGGTCATTTATGCCATGGCTGAAACCTTGCTTCTTCCAGGTTCTCAGGTTCCCATTCAAGCAGGACATTCCCCGTGAGTACTTATGACAAATTTGGGTTGTTTGAGAAAAAAGAGTAGTGATGCACACGAGGTTAAGTGAAGTAGCTGCATTCGGAACCTTATCTGCTGCTTCCATCGAAGATGTGGATATCCGGATATGGTAAGCTGATCTCCCTCATCCCGAAGGAATGCCACTTTCCAGGAGAGTCCGCAACATGGGCCTCTGTTAGCCACTGTTTACCGCAGAGAAGCCGAGTATCTCTTTAGGCTTTGTAGTTCCTTTTATGGGAATTGTCAATTCACCCACATAGTTGCACGTGCGAAAGGGAGTGGATTTTTTATTGCCACTGCAGTCAAAGTGAAGGCCATGTGTGATGTGTCCTGTACTTGATACTAGAACTGCATCTTGGTTCATCAGTCTCAGTGAACATACTGATGTATTCATTTACTCATGGTGGTCTGATGCTTACCCCACGTGGACTCGAGCGACTCTCCTGAACCCTTCCCTCTTTCCGCTGTGTTAGATATCGAGTGAACCTTTCATGACTTCCTCGACATTGGTGCTGCCTTAAGACCAAATCAGCGCCATTTGCAATGATGTTGACAGTATCAAGAGTATTCTACTTATCTCCGCAATAATGTACTCTGTTCCCTTTTTTCAAGAGCAGTTCTTTGCTCATTGTTCGCGGTTGTACTAAACTGGTTTGATTTGAGCCTAGGTGAGGTAAAAATCAACCGATCATCTATAGAGATCCATGTAAATGAACTAATAACCACCATGTATGTCCATTGTTTTGATGCGTTTTACCGTGTCCTATCTGCAAGCATGTCAGTGTGGTATCGAATTTCCGTCGCCATCCCAAGCACCTTGTTAAAAACATACGAGGATGGCTGCGTTTTTAATATTCCAATGCAAGGTTCTTGAGGGTAGTCTCCTTTACAAGAATCGAATTAAATGAACACAAGAGTAGACAGCTGGTTGAGAAGGCCTCTGCTTGCCAGACCGCTCTACCAACAGAAATCTGAGGGCAAACGGACTAATGTATAGTTCCGTGGAAAAAGTCTTGAGGGTTATTGTCCCTAGTTTGAAACCTTCAAGGTGGATGAAATTTCGGTTGTATCCGCTTTGTAATAATTGCTGGCAAGTTACGGTATCTTTCTGTCAACGGACCGTGTTTTGCAGCCGCACGCATATAGAGTGCCACAAACAACGGAAAACTTTGGGCAACAAATGATGGTCTACCTCTGTTTTCTCCAAGTTTCTGCACAATGACCATGTTTGTCGTTGAGATCTTACACAGTGTGAAGTACTAATGTTTCAACATTGGTGCTATTTTCACCGTAACCTTATTCGGTGAGTGTTGGTTACCGTTCGTCGAGGTTGGAAGCACCGGGGTGCCTTTCAAATCGGAAGAAGCTAAGGGCCTAAAATACGCAACTGCAGCACTAGTCAAGCGAAAATACTAGTAGGGATTAAATGGTTATGATGATGATGACGATGATGATGATGGTGATGAGGATGATGATGATGGTAATGGTAACGATGACACTGAGTATGAGGTTTATCATGAAGCGCTCTTCTTGACCACTCGAATACTGAAAAGACAATTTCCTCCCACCACTGCCAAATATTCTTGATGCGCCTACATTTTCAGAGTAAACAAAACCATAGTTGACAAGTAAAATCGAAATATTGCTCAGCCTACAATTTGAGGGGTCCACGAAAGAAAACAGAACAATGTCCCATAGGTCCTCATTAAAAAGATTGTCAATGCTGTCCAATTTTAGAGCATTTCTGCAGGTCGTTTAAACTTGTATAGTTGATGATGTGATATCTATGTGTGTCATCAGGTTGCGAACTGTCCAGCCACCCAATCTCTGACCATCATCTGCGACCACTGACATTCTGGCTTTGTATTCTCAGCTATCCTGTGATTTACTTGATTTACTTGAAAACACAACGTCTCGAAATTCCATCAAATATCGAGGGCTTAGTTGAGTTCCTAGTCCTAACAAAGCAAACATGGGTTAGTCCGGCTCAAGCCACTGAAGATTGAATGTTTGAACCACAAGCCGCTCAGGATTTATTTGAATTCATGCACAGACCCAAAGACACAAAACTCTGAAACACTCCGCGATGACGTAGTTTGAAGTTGCAACGATTAGGCATGGTAGTCAAATCACAATGCTACTACATGGAATATGTGAGTTTAGGTTCACACAAAACCTTGGATTCTACGAGACTCTGACCAGTGTGACCATGCGATGTGAAGAATCTTTGGATCAAAGATAATCGATGTTTTTAGATGCAGAGCAGCATCACTGTCCCGACCACAGTGGGATGTCTGAATGCTCTGTGGAGGTAGTTTTCCGACTACAAATTGATGTGTGTCAGGGTTGGTGAATCAAACTTGTTATTACAACTAATTTTTTGCTTCCATTATTACTAGTAAAATGTCTTCTAAGAGCCTCTTCATTCTCTATGGCTGTTTCAGCTCTATCACCCATTCTGAAGCACAAAAGAGTCTAATAACACTACACACTCTAGCCAGTTAACTTAGACTGAGAGACGAGAGTAACTTGTTTACTAACGGTCATCTGTATAGACCTCATTTGGCGATTTTGTTTACTGCAATCAGAAAGTGCGTGGGTTGCTCAACCGTACACTGCTTACACAGCCACCACTCCCTCTCCTCTTCATTCACCTAGCTGCGTCTGTAATGGATGCATCGAAACGTGGCTACCGGGTTATTGTGTTGGAGGATGCCTGTGTTGGCATCGATCCAGCTGGGATTGCTGATGCACGAAGGCTCATGCTTGAATCTGGAGTCCACATAACACGCTCCACAAAAGTAAGGAACCTTATCAAAATAATTGGTCAGCCAGTCGTACAAAACAAACTACCACTTACGTCTTGACCTCATAATTAGTGTTGTTTGGAAAACAAAGCATTGCACGAATCGCCAGCAGAAAATAAGCGCGTTGGTCTGAAATCAGCAGAAGAGCTTAATTTTGAATAACTTGATTTGATTTCTTTGGGTTCATGATAAGAAGTACGTGCCTATCTGATGAGAATCTAGCAAGCAAGGATACAGTGTAGTTTGCAGACTGTCAATACGTGCCTGAATGGATTTGGCTCACCTTTAAAAGGGTGTGTTCCGACCGCATAACCGTTGCGGATCAAAGTTGGCCATCCTCAACAATGTGCTGGACGGTCTCACAGCCAGTCTTGTTTCTGGCAATGAAATTTTGGTGATATTGATTTTGGTAATCAGCCTGCACCACATTTGCTTACAATCTCCCGTTTTAGCGCAGTTTACGACTGCTTGGTCTGTAGATCAAGCATTCCGTTTGGTCGCAGGTGACGACTTATAGAACCAGGGTTCCTAAACGCATGCAAAATTCGCATATGCGTACGTACTGATGCATATATCCGTCAGCCATGAAGCGTCTTTTTTCGTTGAAATAACCAGCTATGTACCCTGCGTATATGTTTAAATCTTTTTAAGTATTATGCCGAGGCGTATTGCATTATCTCATCAAACTGTTAGGGAAATAAAGCGAGTCTGATTAGTTACCTGTCTCCCTTCACTTTCAATTCTAAAATAGTTTTATTCAGTGACGTATCAACCGGTATCAGCTGATTTAAATTTCAAGCAATCCACACGCTAAAATGCACCACTACTTGCAAGTGTTTTTGGTTAGAATAGACAAGTGAAGCCGAATATCTCATCAAATTATCAGGAGACCAAAAATGGGCACTATCAAGACCAAAATCCCTCTGAGACTACGTCAGGAGAGCCTACAGTCTGAAACAGGCTAAGAATAACATCGTAAACGAGAGATTAAGCTGGGTTCCAGGTAAATCTCCCGTCAAAACCAAACGGTTATGGAGATGAGTGCATAAGTCGAATGCAAAGATCCTTTTGGGAGTGGTCCAAGTGCTGACCTATCAACGGAGGTCAAGTGGACAAGGTCAACGATCACCTGAACATCAACTCACCGGAACACATGTTAAGGAACCATCCAAAATTACCGCATATGCACACAGACACACAATTGAAGATCAAGCTCCGGCTGTCAGTGCACATATAAGCGTACATACAACCACGCTGCGAACTTGTAATGACACACCATATCGCTTCGCCTCATGCCTCATTTCACAGTGTCACACTCACGGCTGCACCCCGAATGGTGATATAAGCTTTGCAACTTGGTACACTCGAGGAGCGAAATGACCACATGTGTGATACTACAACAAAATAACGCAGAAACTCACATGACTTTGTCCTGTTATATCTCAAAATCTAATGGATAATATGAAGTTCTGCTTTATACCTGATTGACGACCCCCTTTACGGGCCAGTATATCGAGCAAACACGCAAGATAAGCGTCTCGGAAACCAAAGGCTGCGCTATCGTTGTTCTTCGTAAATGTCTGCTGAACACTGAACGAAATTGATGGAATAACATTGTACGGCGTACATGCAGAGTGGTCGAAATACATGAGTGAAAACCCTCCTTTCAGGAACGGAACAACAGGGTGAATCTATTCTCTGGGTATACTTTTCAGTCCAGTTTCTGTGCACAGTATTCTTGTGAATTACAGTTCCGTTTTCTTCTAAAGTTCATCATCTTCTGCTTCGAAATCATTTTATTCGACACATTACATCTGGAAGTTTGGTTAATAAAAGCTGAATATTGTAAAGGATTTATAATAATAATTTTAACGCCAAAAAAGAATAACTGTGAAACACACTTATTTACAAACAAATTAGGTTTTGTGGGGTACTCACCTGGAACCCAGCTAAATATCTCATTTGTGATGTTTCCAGGCACTAGGCCGCCTCATGTTTTGATTGCTACGATATTCGAGAAATCGCGATAGATGTGTATTCGTAATGCACTACTCATGAGGTTGCTTAAAATTCGCTGACAGTCCACTACCGGTTTCTCCCTTCTTGGGACTCATCAGGTAGCCGTGGCCTCCGAGTTTATTCGCTGCGCTGACAGTCCACTACCGGTTTCTCCCTTCTTGGGACTCATCAGGTAGCCGTGGCCTCCGAGTTTCCGTCAAATTTATGTTCTAACCGAAAACGAATCGCACGAAATTAGCGAAATACACTCATTTGCAAACAGATTATGTCTTGAGAGAAACTCAGTTGGAACCCAGCTGAATCGTTTTTGGTGTCTTCAGTGTTCCCAAAGTAGTAAGAAGCATTAGTTTTCTGGTCTTTGGAAACAAAATTTCGTGCGCACTGGAAAAATAATTCGTGCTAAAATTGAACGTCTGTAGTCCTTGTGAATGAAAAATCTACATCGCTATCTCCAATGTGGTTACTGAATAAATCCTCTCAACCCCCAGTTAATTTTCTAAAATAATACAAGGGACTAGAAATGGCGTGACGAATCCAAATTTAGTTTGGTACCAAAAACGCTAGATTATATGTTTTCTATTCGGTTTCAGTGCTAGACTGTGCTGGAAATCACCTCATCGCATGTGATTTGTTTAAAATTAGACTCATTTCCTACGTAATAAGTTGGATGGAAGGCCAGACTTGTTGTCATTTCATTATAGGTGGAAACCGTCGAACGGGTCCAGATTCCGGTACTCTCTAAGTCCTTCGGAAGCTTATCACAGGGAGGCCTCGAAGAGCTTTTGAGAGACCTTATCGCGTCTATCAGAACACTGGCAATCATTAAGAAAATGCCTGATCAACAAACCTCCCGGAGATCCAATAAGTGTCACTTCACTGGGGTACAGGCTGTGGGGTTAATACGGCACCCTAATGCTTTTATCAGAAATGACGACCTATAAGGCAGTAGGAGGATTCTGGAAAAACTGAGTTTTCTGATTTGGAGGAGGCTTAATTATTCGCTTACTACTTATGTGCCACCTGGTGTGCATCTCACATAGCATTCTGTGACATTGCATACACGCCAATCTAGCATAGCTAGTCACACACCCAGTTGTTTTGCACCTACGTTTTCCCAAAATTCTGCCAATCCTCGAACAAACCAAGCGCATCAATTACTGGTGCTTTGAAAAGTGAACGTACGTGAGTTGTCAACATCTCTATCAAACGGACATCCATCCAACATGAAGTGCTTTTTCTTTCATATCGTCCATGGGCTGTCTGTCAGTCATGCTTAAGCCGAACTGCACAAAAGCACACACTGAAATATCCAGGATACCAAATCCTAACTAGCATACAGCTGCAGAAATGTTGTAACATTTCCATTCTATTAACTAGCGTAAAACCACACATAGCCTCCGGTGCAATTCCTAATTTGTATCAACTTATTCGTTCAGAAGCTGTCCTTCATAAAGTGGACTTCGCTGCAAAAGTCGAAATACTATACTGGGTGGGAAAGTCTGTATTAAGGTGTACTTCTAGAGCGGATCGTTGTACAACTGCATCTGTGGTTACTGGTACCTGCAAGCTTAAACAATAAGTGAGGTGGTTCATCCTGCTTACTTTTCGAGGTAAAAGTTACCTTAAGATATCCACAAGGTTTTTCTGACATTCTTTTTCATTCGAGTTCCATGTAAACAACCTTACGACTCTCCTTCTTGTTCCATTCAAGATCATCGATATCCTCTCCGGGAATTCAACTCCTCTACAACATGTTCTGAAGTGGGTTCATGACCAAACCATGGCTCAATAATTCGACTTGCATTCCTATTTGTGCAATTTTACCCTTAAAATAAGATCTCACTATTTTCATTTATTTTACACTGTTGGCATTTCATTTTCCATCGATTATTTGACAAATATATTTTCAAATTCTCCTGGCTTGTTATATTGTGAATTGACGAAACAGTCAACTATCATGGTAATGGAACATTTTAGTGTATCAGAGGTAGGAGTTTGTTCATGCGACATTTTCAGTAGTCGGCTTAGATCAGGCTTGAATAGCACCGACCCACATGATATCCGGTCACAAATGGTACAGATGTGGCAGGTACTGAGCAGAATGTGGGCACCTTACGCAGCGTCAGAACTAGCACTGGTCTATACCCGCAATTCCTGAAGCATACATTCCTAAGCTTACTTATGCGTCTCGTATCCATGGTTATTGTGGATTAGATCGGATCCACCTGCAGAGTTTGACTTTATTAGGTTAAAAATATCAAGATTTCTGTTGCTTAGGGGTGACTGCCTCCAAGTTAGAATTCGGATTTGGGTCTCTCCTCTTCTTTGCGAAGAAAGTCGCTTATACAAAGTCGCTTATACATATATATTCACTGATCCTGGCTTGCAGTTTATCTTTAAAAGCGAAGAAATGTTACCGTACCCAAAATACTACACATGGGCCTAACTACCCGGGAGCTACTTATGTGAGTTTAAACGACACACGTTTGCTTCACACTAGAAATTTCAGGGATTCTATCTAATCAGCGACTCGGTTATCAATTCTTGCAGAGGCAAATTGCTTGTTCCTGTCTCCCTCTTGGCCCGCTTCACTTGGTTCATTTCCGACGATGTTCAAAGTGAAGAAGACCAGCTCATCTCCTGACACTCACGTTCCAAGTGGTTGTAACTGTGCGTATTTCAGATGCGTTGATAATCTCAATCTGGAGTGTACAGAACAAGCATTCTTTGGAATAATTCCAATTCAGTCAAGAGAGGTCAAATACACACTGACGACAAATATACCGCTATCATTGGACAAACTGAGCAATGTTTGCTGCTAATAGTTCTTCGGGTTGACCAATACTCGTGCAATACAGCCCTATAACCAAGGGTTACTCCACCGGTGTCATCAACACAGATCCGTATAAGAGATGCATCGCCATAAACACTGCATAAATCTGTTGATTACCAAACCCTTACGGAACCAGGACGACCAAGTACTTCTTTGGATGGCTGTCACCCTCAGCCTGACAGCTTACAAACCGCATTCAGAGGGACACGTTGATGTTGTCAATAAAATGAATTGGTTATTTTTTCCTTCATATGTACCCTTCAAATGTTCCTTTCATTTGTGAGCAATTCAAAACACTTTGTAACCCCGTACACGTTTCATTCCATATATCGACTGCTGGTCATCATAGCATGAGCGAAATTCCAGGAGACTAAGCTGTCACTTATCTTTTGATACAAGTGTCGCATTGTATTCGCAATGCCCGCTTATATGTACTCTAGGAAAGTACCTAATCCCTCCTGGTAAATTTTGACTTTTGCTTCCCATAGAATGAATCGTCCGGACTCATTTCAATTCGTGGTTCAACAATGGATTTTATATTTTCCAATTCATCTCTAGCTTCTTCACCATCAAACCTGGTAAAAAAAAATTCAAAATTTTCAGGCAAATTTTCCCTTTAAAACTCCGAGGTGAATGTTGTTTGGACATCATCTATCGTTCGGAGTTTCTGGTTTTTTAACTTACCTAAACAAAGCTGGAAATCGGTCAAGCCTTGGTCTGGGCCGATGCTTACTGACGAGTACTTGGTCTACCAGGGCGATTCTACATTTAAGCCAAAATAATACAATTGAATCTGTTTTCGGGCCAAATTTAGTGACACAGCTAAAGACAAACACAGAACTTTTATCTTTTTGGTACACGTAAAAACTTCTTGCAGGTGTTGATAGTTGCTGAGAAGCCCTTGGTCTCATCGTCCCTTTAATGACGGTTTCTTCGATCTCGTATACTGACGTTTGTCCCTTTTTGTTTACATACTTTCAGTTTGTTAGCAAATATCTGTAGAGTCCTCATAGTCGAAGACCCATGTTTCACTTGAACAGCACCAATCGCACGGAAACTTATGCATTTTGCTAACCGAGACCAAAGAGGACTGACAAGTGTGGCAGATGCGTGCATGGACCTTTGCACGAGATAAGGAATGCAGTATATGCTGAACTAGTAATCAGCCAAATGCTTTTTAACGTAACCAGCTTTTAAGTACAGCTCGTCGCAGTTGCTACAAGAAGGAGGTTAAACAACTTACTTGTTTTCTGAGTCACGTAAGTCTTTCGCTCATCTTGTATCAAGCCACGCAATACTGAAAAACAGCCCTGAAACCAATATCGTCTTCGTCGCACTTTGCTGACAGGTGTTCAGAAAGAGTCCGTCGTAGCGGTCTGTTTATATCTAAGGCTACACCTCTTTCAAACGAAAAATTGGCCTCAGAGAGGTCTGGTAAGCAATCACTGAATTTATTACGGGTAATTTTTTTGCTTTTGAAACGAAAACTCCGTCGGGCCAAATAAATAATTTACCAGATTGGTCAATTTTCAAGGCGCAGAAAGGCCGGTGAGATTTCTTGTGACAATTCAATTTGATCTGTGCTGGGTATCAGTCTGAAGCATCAGCATGTTGGGTGTTGTGGATGGTGTGGTGCTTCGTATATTTCTCTTGCTCTTGTCAATTGCATAAACGTTTTTTGTTTGAACACGAAAAACTGCAAAAGCGCGCATCTGTACAACTTCACGCGCTTTGACTATATCTTATGATTTCGCTCGTGCTTACACCGGTCATTCGCGAGTTTTATGTGCTAACTCTGGTATCAGAACATTCCAGACTATCTTCAGAATTTGTTGTATGTGGGAACTATTCGGAAGAAGACCCTTGGACAACCATGATTGGATTATTGTTTATTCATTGATCTGGGCCAACGATGAACTATTTCAGAGAGAACAATTCTCAGTGAGTTGTTCCATTCATCTGACCTCTTTATTATTGTATACTCAAACTAACGCTATTATTTTTATTCCTCTGCCACATACTCCTGGTGAAGTAGTTTTTTGGTAGACAGACCACTACAGATTTGGCGAGTTTGAGTCTTTCTAGATACTTTTTATCTTTTCGTTCAACTTGTAGTTTTTGCCCGGTCATTATGAATACCCACTCCGATTCATCTGATTTAGTCGGGATTACAAGTGGCATCCGATTAACACACGCCACTCCCACAGTTCTCGGCCCCATACCCTCGACCATCTCGCAACTTCAAACGAGATTTGATAACTTGACCGATCGTCTACAATTCCTCGAGATCAACAACCACTGACCACTTTCACGATCTTGATCGTTGTCGCTTTTCTGTCCCTCTTTGTGCTGGTGTAACCAATCTTTCGGTCCCAAAACACTCAAATTCCAACAGTTTTGCTCCTTCAAGCCGCATCCTAACAGCCTTTTAAACACCTCGGCCAATCAGTAATGGTGAAGACTCTCTGCGGCCCTCCTCTCACTGGTCGCCTATTCCACACCACCAATCGCTCGGGTGGTCTGCGTTTCTTCGTAGATACGAGAAATGAAGTTAGTGTGTTACCACATAAGAATCTACTTCCTGGCTCCGCTTGTTATTCGTTACGAGCCGCTAACGGCACCCGCATCACTATGACCCTAATGCTTTTATCAGAAATGACGACCTATAAGGCAGTAGGAGGATTCTGGAAAAACTGAGTTTTCTGATTTGGAGGAGGCTTAATTATTCGCTTACTACTTATGTGCCACCTGGTGTGCATCTCACATAGCATTCTGTGACATTGCATACACGCCAATCTAGCATAGCTAGTCACACACCCAGTTGTTTTGCACCTACGTTTTCCCAAAATTCTGCCAATCCTCGAACAAACCAAGCGCATCAATTACTGGTGCTTTGAAAAGTGAACGTACGTGAGTTGTCAACATCTCTATCAAACGGACATCCATCCAACATGAAGTGCTTTTTCTTTCATATCGTCCATGGGCTGTCTGTCAGTCATGCTTAAGCCGAACTGCACAAAAGCACACACTGAAATATCCAGGATACCAAATCCTAACTAGCATACAGCTGCAGAAATGTTGTAACATTTCCATTCTATTAACTAGCGTAAAACCACACATAGCCTCCGGTGCAATTCCTAATTTGTATCAACTTATTCGTTCAGAAGCTGTCCTTCATAAAGTGGACTTCGCTGCAAAAGTCGAAATACTATACTGGGTGGGAAAGTCTGTATTAAGGTGTACTTCTAGAGCGGATCGTTGTACAACTGCATCTGTGGTTACTGGTACCTGCAAGCTTAAACAATAAGTGAGGTGGTTCATCCTGCTTACTTTTCGAGGTAAAAGTTACCTTAAGATATCCACAAGGTTTTTCTGACATTCTTTTTCATTCGAGTTCCATGTAAACAACCTTACGACTCTCCTTCTTGTTCCATTCAAGATCATCGATATCCTCTCCGGGAATTCAACTCCTCTACAACATGTTCTGAAGTGGGTTCATGACCAAACCATGGCTCAATAATTCGACTTGCATTCCTATTTGTGCAATTTTACCCTTAAAATAAGATCTCACTATTTTCATTTATTTTACACTGTTGGCATTTCATTTTCCATCGATTATTTGACAAATATATTTTCAAATTCTCCTGGCTTGTTATATTGTGAATTGACGAAACAGTCAACTATCATGGTAATGGAACATTTTAGTGTATCAGAGGTAGGAGTTTGTTCATGCGACATTTTCAGTAGTCGGCTTAGATCAGGCTTGAATAGCACCGACCCACATGATATCCGGTCACAAATGGTACAGATGTGGCAGGTACTGAGCAGAATGTGGGCACCTTACGCAGCGTCAGAACTAGCACTGGTCTATACCCGCAATTCCTGAAGCATACATTCCTAAGCTTACTTATGCGTCTCGTATCCATGGTTATTGTGGATTAGATCGGATCCACCTGCAGAGTTTGACTTTATTAGGTTAAAAATATCAAGATTTCTGTTGCTTAGGGGTGACTGCCTCCAAGTTAGAATTCGGATTTGGGTCTCTCCTCTTCTTTGCGAAGAAAGTCGCTTATACAAAGTCGCTTATACATATATATTCACTGATCCTGGCTTGCAGTTTATCTTTAAAAGCGAAGAAATGTTACCGTACCCAAAATACTACACATGGGCCTAACTACCCGGGAGCTACTTATGTGAGTTTAAACGACACACGTTTGCTTCACACTAGAAATTTCAGGGATTCTATCTAATCAGCGACTCGGTTATCAATTCTTGCAGAGGCAAATTGCTTGTTCCTGTCTCCCTCTTGGCCCGCTTCACTTGGTTCATTTCCGACGATGTTCAAAGTGAAGAAGACCAGCTCATCTCCTGACACTCACGTTCCAAGTGGTTGTAACTGTGCGTATTTCAGATGCGTTGATAATCTCAATCTGGAGTGTACAGAACAAGCATTCTTTGGAATAATTCCAATTCAGTCAAGAGAGGTCAAATACACACTGACGACAAATATACCGCTATCATTGGACAAACTGAGCAATGTTTGCTGCTAATAGTTCTTCGGGTTGACCAATACTCGTGCAATACAGCCCTATAACCAAGGGTTACTCCACCGGTGTCATCAACACAGATCCGTATAAGAGATGCATCGCCATAAACACTGCATAAATCTGTTGATTACCAAACCCTTACGGAACCAGGACGACCAAGTACTTCTTTGGATGGCTGTCACCCTCAGCCTGACAGCTTACAAACCGCATTCAGAGGGACACGTTGATGTTGTCAATAAAATGAATTGGTTATTTTTTCCTTCATATGTACCCTTCAAATGTTCCTTTCATTTGTGAGCAATTCAAAACACTTTGTAACCCCGTACACGTTTCATTCCATATATCGACTGCTGGTCATCATAGCATGAGCGAAATTCCAGGAGACTAAGCTGTCACTTATCTTTTGATACAAGTGTCGCATTGTATTCGCAATGCCCGCTTATATGTACTCTAGGAAAGTACCTAATCCCTCCTGGTAAATTTTGACTTTTGCTTCCCATAGAATGAATCGTCCGGACTCATTTCAATTCGTGGTTCAACAATGGATTTTATATTTTCCAATTCATCTCTAGCTTCTTCACCATCAAACCTGGTAAAAAAAAATTCAAAATTTTCAGGCAAATTTTCCCTTTAAAACTCCGAGGTGAATGTTGTTTGGACATCATCTATCGTTCGGAGTTTCTGGTTTTTTAACTTACCTAAACAAAGCTGGAAATCGGTCAAGCCTTGGTCTGGGCCGATGCTTACTGACGAGTACTTGGTCTACCAGGGCGATTCTACATTTAAGCCAAAATAATACAATTGAATCTGTTTTCGGGCCAAATTTAGTGACACAGCTAAAGACAAACACAGAACTTTTATCTTTTTGGTACACGTAAAAACTTCTTGCAGGTGTTGATAGTTGCTGAGAAGCCCTTGGTCTCATCGTCCCTTTAATGACGGTTTCTTCGATCTCGTATACTGACGTTTGTCCCTTTTTGTTTACATACTTTCAGTTTGTTAGCAAATATCTGTAGAGTCCTCATAGTCGAAGACCCATGTTTCACTTGAACAGCACCAATCGCACGGAAACTTATGCATTTTGCTAACCGAGACCAAAGAGGACTGACAAGTGTGGCAGATGCGTGCATGGACCTTTGCACGAGATAAGGAATGCAGTATATGCTGAACTAGTAATCAGCCAAATGCTTTTTAACGTAACCAGCTTTTAAGTACAGCTCGTCGCAGTTGCTACAAGAAGGAGGTTAAACAACTTACTTGTTTTCTGAGTCACGTAAGTCTTTCGCTCATCTTGTATCAAGCCACGCAATACTGAAAAACAGCCCTGAAACCAATATCGTCTTCGTCGCACTTTGCTGACAGGTGTTCAGAAAGAGTCCGTCGTAGCGGTCTGTTTATATCTAAGGCTACACCTCTTTCAAACGAAAAATTGGCCTCAGAGAGGTCTGGTAAGCAATCACTGAATTTATTACGGGTAATTTTTTTGCTTTTGAAACGAAAACTCCGTCGGGCCAAATAAATAATTTACCAGATTGGTCAATTTTCAAGGCGCAGAAAGGCCGGTGAGATTTCTTGTGACAATTCAATTTGATCTGTGCTGGGTATCAGTCTGAAGCATCAGCATGTTGGGTGTTGTGGATGGTGTGGTGCTTCGTATATTTCTCTTGCTCTTGTCAATTGCATAAACGTTTTTTGTTTGAACACGAAAAACTGCAAAAGCGCGCATCTGTACAACTTCACGCGCTTTGACTATATCTTATGATTTCGCTCGTGCTTACACCGGTCATTCGCGAGTTTTATGTGCTAACTCTGGTATCAGAACATTCCAGACTATCTTCAGAATTTGTTGTATGTGGGAACTATTCGGAAGAAGACCCTTGGACAACCATGATTGGATTATTGTTTATTCATTGATCTGGGCCAACGATGAACTATTTCAGAGAGAACAATTCTCAGTGAGTTGTTCCATTCATCTGACCTCTTTATTATTGTATACTCAAACTAACGCTATTATTTTTATTCCTCTGCCACATACTCCTGGTGAAGTAGTTTTTTGGTAGACAGACCACTACAGATTTGGCGAGTTTGAGTCTTTCTAGATACTTTTTATCTTTTCGTTCAACTTGTAGTTTTTGCCCGGTCATTATGAATACCCACTCCGATTCATCTGATTTAGTCGGGATTACAAGTGGCATCCGATTAACACACGCCACTCCCACAGTTCTCGGCCCCATACCCTCGACCATCTCGCAACTTCAAACGAGATTTGATAACTTGACCGATCGTCTACAATTCCTCGAGATCAACAACCACTGACCACTTTCACGATCTTGATCGTTGTCGCTTTTCTGTCCCTCTTTGTGCTGGTGTAACCAATCTTTCGGTCCCAAAACACTCAAATTCCAACAGTTTTGCTCCTTCAAGCCGCATCCTAACAGCCTTTTAAACACCTCGGCCAATCAGTAATGGTGAAGACTCTCTGCGGCCCTCCTCTCACTGGTCGCCTATTCCACACCACCAATCGCTCGGGTGGTCTGCGTTTCTTCGTAGATACGAGAAATGAAGTTAGTGTGTTACCACATAAGAATCTACTTCCTGGCTCCGCTTGTTATTCGTTACGAGCCGCTAACGGCACCCGCATCACTATGGGCGGCGAACGTTCCCTCACACTTGACCTCGGGTCGCGACGTGCGTTCAAGTGGATTTTCCTTTTGGCCGACGTCCAAACATCCGTGGAGCAGATTTGGATTTTCCTTTTGGCCGACGTCCAAACATCCGTCCTTGGAGCAGATTTTCTACCCCACTGCAAATTATCCATCCATGCGCGACGCAAACATTTCTTGGGCACGCTAAATTCCCTCTTGGCCAACATAATTAGTGCCCCACCTTCATCCACACGTATCTGAGTTATCCTACCTGATTCCCATTTTGCTGACACATTTGGGGATTTTACTACCCTTGCTCATCCATGCCAGTACACTCTACTGGTCACACCTACCGTAGTTGATCCCATCCAGACGAGAAGTCCACCTGTTCATAAAAACCCCGTCACCTCTATCCAGATAAGCTCCAGATCGTGAAACAAGAGTTTAGACATATACTCAAACTCGGCATCATCCGCACTTCTTCGAGTCAATGGTTGTCAGCCCTACATACGGTACCCAACAAATCAAAGGTAAGTGGAGACCTTGTGGAGATTACCGGTCTTCCAATAACGTCACTATCTCAGACAGGTATCCCATCCCACATATCCACAATTTTGCAAGTACCGTATGCTACACAAATATTTTTTCGAAACTCGACCTTGTACGTGCATACTACCATTTTCTGTAGCCCCGGATGACATATATAAGACAGCTATTACAACATCGTTAGGTCTTTTCGAATTCACCTTTTGGAGTACCAACTGCAGCTTAACCGTTTCAACGTTTCATGGATGAAGTTTTGCGTGCTTTGCCTTTTGTCTATACATATCTAGACGACGTTATAATTGCTAGCACCTCCCCAGATGAGCACGCAGACCACCTCAAGGCAGTAGTTCAACGTCCGTCTACCTACAACATACGTTTGAACACTGACAAGTGCTTGTTTGATGTTGCCAGCGTAGATTTCCTTGGTCATCACATTGAATCAACTGGTATTTCACCATTATCCGATCGCGTTTTGGCCCTAAAATCTTTTTCCATACCAACCACTTTTACTCAACCTCGTCGTTTTATTGTTCTCATCAACGATTATCCGCGGTTCCTTCCTCACTGTGCAGATATTTTACAGTCAGTGACCGATTTACTTGACTCCCACCGCCATTGCTGCTCGCGAAAGAGCCAAGCCAGCCATCGCTCACACCGCAAAACTATCTTTTCTCGCTACCCACGAAAACATAAAGTTTATTTTGACAACAGATGCTTCAAACACTGCTGTCGGTGCTGTGATCCATGAAGTTGTTAACATCATATTTCAACTATTGGTCTTT